TAGGATCCCATACAGTCTGTATCGGATCTGTATAGGATCCTATACAGTCAGTATCGGATCTTTATAGGACCCCATACAGTCTGTATCGGATCTCTAGAGGATCCCATACAGTCTGTATCGGATCTGTATAGGATCCCATACAGTCTGTATCGGATCTGTATAGGATCCCATACAGTCTGTATCGGATCTCTACAGGATCCCATACAGTTTGTATCGGATCTCTACAGGATCCCATACAGTCTGTATCGGATCTGTATGTGATCCTATACAGTCAGCATTGGATCTCTATCGGATCCCATACAGTCTGTATCGGATCTCTACAGGTTTCCATACAGTCTGTATCCGATCTGCATAGGTCCCATTACAGTCTGTATCGGATCTCTACAGGATCCCATGCAGTCTGTGTCTGATCTGTGTAGGATCCAATACAGTCTGTACCGTATCTCTACAGGATCCCATACAGTCTGTATCGGATCTGTATAGGATCTTATACAATGTGTATCGGATATGTACAGGGTCCTGTACAGTTTGTATTGGATCTGTATAGGATCCTATACAGTCTGTATCGGATCTCTTTTGGATCCTATGCAGTCTGTATCGGGTCTCTACAGGCTCCCATACAGTCTGTATCGGATTAGTATAGGATCCCATACAGTCTGTATCGGATCTGTATAGGAGGTCATACAGTCTGTATCGGATCTCTACAGGATTCCATACAGTCAGTATCGGATCTCTACAGGACCCCATAAAGTCTGTATCGGATCTGTATAGGATCCCATACCGTCAGCACCGGTTCTCTGCAGGATCCCATACAATCTGTACCGGATCTCTACAGGATTCCACACAGTCTGTACCGTATCTCTACAGGATCCCATACAGTCTGTATCGGATCTGTAATGGATCCTATACAGTCTGTATCGGATCTGTTTTGGATCCCATACAGTCTGTATCGTATCTCTACAGGATCCCATACAGTCTGTATCGGATCTGTATAGGATCCCATACAGTCTGTATCGGATCTGTATAGGATCCCATACAGTCTGTATCGGATCTGTCTAGGGTCCTATACAGTCTGTATCGGGTCTCTACAGGATCCTATACAGTCTGTATCGGATCTCTACAGGATCCCATACAGTCTGTATCGGATCTGTATAGGATCCCATACAGTCTGTATCGGATCTCTACAGGATCCCATACAGTCTGTATCGGACCTGTACAGGATCCCATACAGTCTGTATCGGATCTCTACAGGATCCCATACAGTCCGTATCGGATCTGTAGTGAAGCGGCGGCACGCCGGCGCGCATACGTTTTTCACTAACAGGACCACGTCAAGGTCCGTAAGGGAACCCGACGGAGTTCCAGGATTTGTTTGTTTTGGGGGGGGGGGCTGGTTGCTGTTGCTGTTGCTTTGGGGGTGCTGGTTGCTGTTGCTGGTGCTGGTGCTGTTGCTGTCGCTTTGGGGGCTCTGAGCGCAGCCTTCGCAATAAGGCGAGGGCGGGTCCGGACGGCTAGAGCTCACGGGGCTCTGACGCGCGCCTTTCCCTTGTTGTTGTTGTTGTTGCTGTTGCTGTTGCTGTTGTTGTTGTTGTTGTTGTTGTTGTTGTTGTTGTTGAACTCTAACTACTGAAGAATAATTATTGTTGATCCCCCCCCTCCGGCGGACATTGTATTTTTTCAATTGAAGTGCCCCTTCCGGGGCTCGCACCCTGTTTTTTATCAGGGAAAGTCGTGGGCATCAAACTGCGTTGTTGGCCCCCCGGACAACAACAACAACAACAACAACAACAACAACGGCTCCCGCATGATACTTCCTCGAAATTTACTCAGGACCCCCGCCCCCGCCTGGGACTTCCTCGCAGTTTACTCAGGCGGAGGCGCTCCCGCCTGAGACTTCCTCGCAAATTACTCCGGACCTCCGCCCCCGCTTGGGACTTCCTCGCAGTTTACTCAGGCGGAGGCGCTCCCGCCTGAGACTTCCTCGCAAATTACTCCGGGAGCGGCGCTCCCGCCTGGGACCTCCCTCACAACTGAGCATCAAACTGTGTTGTTGGCCCCCCGGACTACAACAACAACGGCTCCCGCCTGATACTTCCTCTACATTTACTCAGGACCCCCGCCCCCGCCTGGGACTTCCTCGCAGTTTACTCAGGCGGAGGCGCTCCCGCCTGAGACTTCCTCGCGCATTACTCCGGGAGCGGCGCTCCCGCTTGGGACCTCCCTCCCAACTGAGCCCTGCTGAACTCTCAATACTGAAGAATAATTCTTCTTGATCCCTCCTCCCTCCCTCCCCCCACTCTTTTCCTCCTCGCTCTCCCTTCCTCCTTCCCCCTGCTCTTCCTGTTTTAGGGGCTGCGCCAACTACACGTGGCGAGTAAAAAAGATATACCCCCAAAGGGATATGACCGAAGACGAAGAGGGTGGGTATCGAGGGTTTGGGATTTACATATTGAGTGACGCGCGCGCATATAAGAGCGATCAGTCTTAAGATGATTGTTGGTGTTGTTGTTGTTGTTCTCTGTGTGTCCGTCTGTCCGTCCGTCCGTCCGACTGTCTGTCTGTCTGTCTGTTTATCTGTCTGTCTGTCTGAATGTCTGTCTGTCTCTCTCTCTCTCTGTTTCTCTCCCTCTCTCGCCAGCACTGGCGGCGGGAACTGCTTCGTGGGCTTCACCTCCACATTCGCGTTCTACGCTGTCGACCAGGCAGGCCTGGGACAACGATGAGTCGGTTCAGAGTGTGTTCGGGTACTCTCAGAGCGTCTCGGGACGCTCTGGAACAGCCGCTTCGCCTAAGACATGTTCAGCCTTGCTCGCCTCATATATCCACAGTGTACTAACTGTTCCGTGTTGTCTTTATTTGACATTCGCCTTCGCCGACAGGCTCGCCGATCGGTACGTCCACCAGCGCGTCGACGTGTGCGCAGGCTGGCATACTAACAGCCCCTCATCAACGTGTGCGTCTATCAGACCAGCCACTGGTAGACCGTCACCTCCATTCACTGAGGCCGGTTGCTAAGCCCCCCGTCCACATCCGCACCGCCGGCTGCCAGTACATCGTTGGCAGCACCGCCGACGGCGGCGGTTGCGACGCCACCGTCGACGTGCTGCGTCGACAGGCATGCGCCGCGGACCTCGATTACTACACACGTCGGCTCGAAGACACCTCCTGCGTCGGCACGGGCTGCTGCCCGGAAAGAGCGTCGCCAGCCTCTCCTGCTTGCTTCAGTGGCCACATTGACAGTGCCGACAGGTACGTCCGCGCCTGCGCTAGCACTGCTGGCGGTGTCCTGGACGAGCAGGCCAACCCCCCAGTCCCCACCCGCTGGCTGCCGCGTCTCGGTCGGCCTCTTGTTGTCGTTCGACGTGGCGCCCTGACACTGCGGCTAGGGGCCGAAGACGCTTCGCCCCAGCTTCCCTCATCTCCCTTTCCGTCTGTGGCGCTGCGCGCACCCCGCGGGGGTGACCACCTTTGGGCTGTTCTTTTTGGCGGTCCGCCGACCGGGCCCGACATTTGCGCGCACTCCACCGAGCTGTGGCGAGGAGCTTGGGTACACAGTCGTGGACGGTCTCATCTGCCCGCCACCAACTTCCGAAATGATCCGAGCAGGGAGGAGGAGCCCTTGCGCGTGTCCTCATGCAACCATGCGGCTTTCTTTTGCGGCTCTCGCGTCTCTGCGCTTGCGCGCCTCCGCAGCCAGAGCGGTGTGTCTTCGCCACAGGAGCCGCCGCACCTTTGCAGTGGGTCGGGCCGTGCCTGCGCCTCCAGAAGGAGCTGTTTTTTCTCCAGCTGAGCGAATAGGGGCGTGATCGGCCGCGCCGCCCCCCCAGATCACGGCAGGGCGGTCGTCCAATGGCGACCACGGGCGTCGTGTAGTGTTCGCAGGCTGCTGCTGTGTCCGCAGGCATGCTGTGTGTTGCTCAGAGGCATGCTGTGGCACTCGCACGGTAACGCAGCGCTCGCGCTTGTGGTGCTTTCAGGGACGGAGTGTGGCTCTGTAGCTCAGAGTTATGGGCGTGGCGCTCGTATCGTGGCGGTCGTAGCTGCCAGCGCTGTGGTGTATGCAGGCATTGTTGTGCACAGGTTTTGTCGTACGCTGGCGCCCTGGAGTTCACGGCCGCTGTGGTGCTCAACGGCATGCCATGGGATCCGCACTGTGACGCAGCGCCCGTACGCATGTGATTATCTCATGACGCACTGTTGCCCTGCAGTTCAGAGGCATTGATGCAGCGCTCGTAGCGCGGCGCTCGCAGCTGCCAGCGCTGTGAGGCATACAGGCACTGTTGTACACGGACGTTTCGTTTTGCACGCAAGCGTCGTGATGAACCGCTGTCGTGTACGCAGGCATTGCCAGCCCAGAATACAGGGGAGACCGTACACAGGACCACAATTTTTTGGAGTTGGGGCCCCGTCGCGATCGCAGTCGCCATGCGTTCTGTTGCACACGGCTGATGTGGTTGCACAAGCGTCGTGTTGTACACAGGCGCTGCGGTACACGCAGGCGTCGCGAGCCCCAAAAACCGGGAGATTGTGCCCAGGGCCAGAAGCTAGCAATAATCACGAATACCTTGCATTTTGAATCTGATAGAGTCTGGCCATCCAGGATGTCCTGGAGTTTGGGCTCCTCGGGCGTGTGCACAGGCCTTGTGGCGTACACACAGGCGTGTACACAGGCATTGAGGCGCGCGCAGGCGCCAGGGGCTGCAGTTCGCCGTTCCCGAGTGAACATGCGCTCCGCCTGGTCACCTGCTCTCCCCTCCTGTCGTCGGCGGAATCCGAGCCCCGCCCTCGCCGATCGACGATTCGGGCAGCTCGAGGGGCGGCGGGGGCAGGGCTCGGAACTCGTCGAGCACGCGGCGAACTCCGAGCCCTGCCCCCGCCTCCCGTCGATCCAGGAGAATCGATGGTTGGTAGGGGTGGGGCCTGCTGGATGTCGCCACCCGACTGCGTTGTCTGCTGCCCGTCCGCTCGGGTTCTCCTCTGGCTCTCCCGATCCGGTGGAGGTCGGCGCCGCGTCCTCTGGCGGAGCCGCCGCGGGGGCGGAGGCCCCAGGCGGCCCGCGGGCAGTGGGCGGCATCCGCCGCAGCCGGCTGGGCGCCAGCGACATCGTAGTCTCGGAGGTTGCCACGGGCGGCGGGAACAAATCTCTAAGGAGGGAGAAATACGCAGACACAAGTAATCCTCGAGTCCCCAGAAAATATGGGAAAATGGGAAGTGGGGGGGGGAGACGAAAACTCAGGAAATATGTGACAATATGGTGGGAATCCTGTTATTTGTGTCTATTTCTTTGTGTGTCCCAGGGCCCCTTCAAATCTCAGAGGCGGAAAGATACCGACGCCGCCATCCCTGCCTCGCCTTCGCCTGTGTGGGCCTCCTGGCAGGCCCTCGTCGCCACGGCTGGACTTGTCTCGGCATCCTGGTGAGGATATCTGCCCTGGGAGAGGCCCGGGGAATCGACACTCTTGGGTTTCTCCAGCGTCCGTACGGCAGGCCTCGGGCGGGGCCACCGGGACCAAGACAGATCGCCCCAGAGCGCTCGGCACGGCGCTCCGGGCGTTCCGTGGCGCTCCAGAGCGGCCGCGGCGGTCGATACCTCCTCCAGAGCCGCCGGGTCGCAGAGATCCCCGATTTGTCCTGGTCCGATTTTGTCCTGGTCTTGGCTTCGTCTCAAGGTTCGTTCGGGGACCCCCAAACGGTGTGGTGACCACACCGTGCGGTGAGTCGGTGGGGATTAGGGGTCACCGCACGGTTTTGGGACTCGAGTCCCTTTCCGAGGATGTCTCGGGCGACAGGGGCCTCCGAGGTTCCAAAATCGTGCGTTGACGGACCGTGCGGTGAGGTCTTCGGGGATTTCGAGGTCACCGCACGGTCGGTCACCGCACCGTTTCGGGACTCCAAATTCGTGCCGTGTCGACGCGGCGGCAATCTCAGCGCGGGCGTTCAGGGCTGAACACCGCCAGTGGCCCAGAATCGGCCAGTAACACAACCTGGCGATCGAGAAGCTGGTGAACGATCGCTGCTGAACGATCCACGCGGTGTCAGGAACCTGTGCCAAAGTTGTCACGAAAAGGACCAATCGTATTCGTGCCCATACAGTCGGGGCGCTGAAGAAGGAACCCTTTTCGTTTGGGAGGGGCTCAGTGTTCCTTAGTTGCTTTGCAGCTCGCCCTAGGTTTTCCTTAGGTCTTCGATCGGAATTCGAAGCTTACCTTATGGGAAAAATGGGCCTCGTTCCTTATTTAGGGTTCCTTAGGTCAACGCCCCGACTGTACGGTCCGGGCCCGTTGGTAAATATTCTAAGCGTCAGGCGGCGTGGACACCTTGCAGCGGGTGGTGTGCGGCAGCTCTCGGGGTAAAGTTGTCCCGGGGAAGGGGCCGAGACCTCGGGGGGGTCTTTGGTTGCCCAAGAGAATCACGACTATTGGGTTCCGTGTAACAGGCGTCACCGTGGGGGGGAGGGGCGAGGTGGAGGGACGGGCGCGGGCACGGCCGTTGCGCTGAAGCACCGAGAAAGCCATGGCCGCCGCGCCGAGCAGTGCGAAGACGCGCTTCTGGGCCCCGGCGCGAGATCCCGTGGATGCGCGATCCCATGGGACGTCTTCCGCCCGGGGCATCGGCGCAGAGCCACCCCGTACAGTCGGGGCCCTGAAGAAGGAACCCTTTTCGTTGGGGAGGGGCTCCGCGTTCCTTAAGTGTTTCACAGCTTGCCTCAGGCTTTCCTTATGTTTTCGACAGGAAATCGAAGGTACACTTATGGAAACAAGGGGCCTCGTTCCTTATTTACGGTTCCTTAGGTCAACGCCCCGACTGTACCCCTCCGAGAGCCCGGGCCACGAGGCCGTGGATGTGTACACGTTTCCCGCCCATGAGGTCGGCTTGGGCACGCAGCGGTGGGGCAGCACGGATTGGAGCGCTGCGCCGCGACACTCCGCCTTCCAAGAACCCCTGGAGTGGTGGAAAGCCACGATGCAGGGTGCTTCGCCATGTTTGGTCTCTCGGAGCCTGGGCTGGGCGCTGGGACCATCAAGAAGCGACTCGGGATGACAGTCCAGTCCCGGGAAGACTCTTACGGCCTTCGTTGCTAAAGCAACACGGCGTCGAAGGCCTGGGAGAGCCCGACCCATTCCGCGGCGACGGAAATCCAATCCCCTTCCCCGCCTCCCACCCAGACCTCCGACGTTTCGATTCTTACAAAGTGGGGTCCCTGGAGCTCTGAACAACTTTCCAGGGATCAGTTTCTCGTCATGGACCGTCCTTGACGGTCCCGGCGTCCAGCGATGGCGCCAGACGCCGAAAATTACGAACAGCATGCGTCTTGATCTCTTCAACAATGCGTTGGAGGTCGGCATCGGTCTGGACCAGCAGGCGGTGCACCGGCGGTGGCTCGCGCCTGCTTGCAGCCTCTGTCAGGGGCAGCGTTAGGGGGGATGGGCCCAGGGCGAGACAGGCTGTTCCCCCCCTGGGCCGGTCCCCCCTTCACTCTGATCCCGCGCCGGCGCCGTGGTGCCCCCCCCACGGTGGACTTGGACCGGCAGGCGGCAGGGGCAGTGGCCTCCTCCTTTTCCTCCTCCTTTTTCTCCTCCACTTTTTCCTCCTCCTCCTCCTCCTCCTCCTCCTCCTTCTCTTCGACGACAGGATGACCCTGCTCCCCCCCATCTGCCCTCTTCCTCCTCCTCTCTTGCAGCGCCATGCGGCGATCCCTTCTCCGCGCCGCCGCCTCGCGGGCCAGGGGCGCGTGGCGCGGGCGCCTCCCGGACCTGGGGGTACCTTCTTCCGTTCGAGAGGGAGGGAGAGGAGGAAGCGAGGCCACTTGTCCATCCAACATCACGATGATCGCAGATGAGAAAGGGTATGGGGTGAGCGGCGGGGTCACTCCAAAAAATGTCGATGATGCCTATAGCGTTGACATCAGTGCCTTTTGTGTAACGATGTACTTGTATACCCTTGTTCGTAACGCTGTAGTTCGTGATATTCTCCGGCTTACAGCAGGCCAGTCTCGCAGTTGTAGGTCGCGTTCGTGTTCTGTTCAACGCCATTTGGGCGAACATCGCATTGAATTCAGTTTCGTGTTGAACTACGACGAGGAATAATTGGGTAGCCCCAGGCTGTCCCTCTTCCGATGCGACTTCCCACAGCCTTTCGAACAAGTAACATATTGGCAGCATGTTGTAAAACCGGAAAGCTTAGGCCCGATCTTGGTACATCTCGCCGAGCCTTTGCTTAAAGTATTGGCCATAGATCTCCAGGGTATCTGTCCTGACGTTCATGTAGGTCATGCCACTTCGGTGTGCCCGCCGCTCGGCCTGTGCGTCAAAGGGGCCCAGGAGCCTCTCTTGGTCGTTGAGGGCCAGCCTTGCTTTCAGCATCACGAGATTTACGCGGCTGCCTTCCCGTAGCTCAGCTTATGGCTCTCGTAGCTCTGTTGGTGGCTCTAGTAGCCCAGCAGGGGGATCTTGAAGTTCTCTTGGTGGCTCTCGTAGCTGCGCCTGTGGTCCTTGCACAGCTCGCGGTCCTCGCAGCTCTTCTGGTGGCTCTCGTAGCTCTGCCTGTGGTCCTGGTAGCTCAGCTTGTGATCCGCGGAGGTCCGCTGGGGGCCCTGGTCGCTCTTCAGGTGGCTGTTCTAGCTGTGCCTGTGATCCTCGTAGCTCAGCTTGAAGGTCCGCTGGTGGTCCTGGTGGCCCTGCTGGCGACAGTAGTAGTTCTGCTTGTTGCCCTCGTAGCGTAGCTGGTGCCTCCGGTAGCTCAGCCGGTGGCCACTGTGGTTCGGTCGGTGGTCCTCCTAGCTTTGCTGGTGGCCTTCGTGGCTCCGCTGGCGGCCCTCGTGGCTTTGCTGGTGGTCCCCGTAGCTCCGCTGGTGGTCCGCGAAGGTCCGCCTGGGGCCCCGGCAGCTCTGCGCTTGTGGGTATAGTGGCTCTCCTGATCTCCCTCGAGGCTCAGGCGCTGGCCCGCGCAGCTTTGCAGGTGGACCTCGTGGCTCTGCCGGTGGCTCTCGAAGCTCTGCTCCGGAGCCCTCGTGGCTCGGCGGGCGGCTCCAGTAGCGCACCAGGTGGTCCTCGTAGCTCTGCTCGTGGCCCTCGGAGCTCGGCTGGAGGCCCTCGTGGCTCAGCTGGCGGCCCTCCAGATCTGCTTGCGCGCAGTTCAGCTCGTGGCTCTCGTGGCTCTGTGGGGTGGCTCTCGTAGCTCAGCAGGTGGGCCTCGGCGCTCTTCTGGTGGCTCCCACCGCTCTGCCTGTGGTCCTGGTGGCTCAGCTTGTGGTCCGCGACGGTCTTCTGGTGGCCCCAGCAGCTCTGCTTGGTGGTTGCAGTGGCGTTGCCTGTTGCCCTCGAAGTTCAGGTATCCGGCCCTCGTGGCGTTGCAGGCGGTTCCGTCTGGAGATCCGTCCGCGTCGCCGTACTGGTCGTAGCCCTGCTGCTTCTGCTGCTGCTGCTGCTGCTGCTGCTGCTGCTGCTGCTGCTATGACGATGTACTGTATCTGCTGATTCATGAGCGCATGGTACATGTATAGCACCTCACCCGTGCGAGTTCTCGTACAGCACGTCTTCGTTCTTTTACCGCGCGTGCTCTCGTATAGCACCTCCTCCCTCTTTGTCGTACTTGGTGTCGTGCTTGCCGTATCCTGCGTTGTACTTGTTGTCGTAATTGGCGTCGTACTTGGCATTCGTCATAGCGGCCACCATGAGCAATGTGTCACTCCATCTGGTATTCAGGCCACGCCGCATATGGTAGCAAGTCCTTCGTGCCGCAGCTCGCAGCGGCTTGGGCCCCAGACGGCCCGTCAAGTTCATCTCGTATTCTGAGTACCTCAATAGTTTTGGGGTGACCCATAGTCCAGGGGGGCCTCTGTAGGCTGGGTGGTTGGCCCTATTCCGGGGGGGGGGTAGTTCGTGGGGGGGGGGGGGGCCCCTTGTAGTCCAGGGGGGCGGCCCTTACAGTCTGGGGGGGGGCCCTTGTAGTCCGTGGGGAGGTCCTGTAGTCCGGGGGAGCGATGCCCTTGATGGCTTCACGTGCCTGAAGTCCGGGTGTGGGCCCCTCTAGTCTGGGGGGGGGGTCCCTGTTGTCCGGGGGGGGTCTTTGTAGTCCACGGGTGGGCTCCTGTAGTCCGGGGTGGGTCGTTGTAGTCGGGGGGAGGGGCCCTTCGGTAGTCCATGGGGCCCCTGTAGTCCAGGGGCCTAAGACTGTTGAGGTACTCACAGTAGCCAGTTCTCTTCGTTATTCTTCTTCTCATTATTCTTATTATTCGTCTTATTATGGTTATTATTCTTATTCTTCGTCTTATTCATTATTATTAGTATTATTATTGTTATTATTTCTATTATTCTTATTATCCCTTATTATTTTTTATTAGTATTATTTTTCTTATTTCTTTATTATTATTATTATTCTTCTTCCTCCTGCTTCTTCTTCTTCTTATTCCTCCTCCTCCTCCTATCATGCCAGTGCCCGCTCGGACACATCGGGCCCGCGACCGAGGAGGCCCCCGCGGCTCGCTGGGCTCGGCGGGCTTGCCTGCGCACCCCGCCAGGGCCCCAGAAGGTCGACGCCGGCACCAGCCCAGACCCCCTCGAGTCGTGGCACAAGTCACGACGGGATGCTTTCGGCCATCCTCGGCCTTATCAGGGGGCCCTTACTGGGCCCTGGGACCTTCAGAGATCCGTTGGTGATGGCAAATGGGTCTTGGAGGACGGGTCGAGACCTTCAGAGGTTCGCGTTGTGTAAAAGTCTCGACGTCGGGGGTCTGGGCAAAACATCGTTTCAGCATGATTGGATTTGCACCTCTTGGCGCCGATGCCCAGTTTCAAACAGTTTCTTCTGCTCCGCCACCCCGAGGGGCGACGCTCCACAGGACGGGGTTTTGTCTGTTCGATCTGCTGAGGCGATCCCGGAACAGCCTGGACCGGCCCCTTTGGACGGCCGTGTCCAGGGCGTTTGGGCCTTGTCCGGTCCTCTGGTGCTCTTCGCGCCGCTCCGAGCCACATCAATATGCCGGAGGCGTCCTGGCTCTCTCCTGCGATTGTTGGAGTCCCTGCGCGGCCTCCCGCCGCGCTCCGCGTTCACCTCCTCCCCGCCGGTTGTCGTGCACGTCCGCCGTGGCCTTCCCACCACGGCGGCGGCGTCGTCGACGTAGACGTTGTCGTTGTCGTGGCCGTCGTCTCCGTGTCTGACCCTGTGCGGTTCTCTGAGCTTCCTGCTCTTCCCTTCTTCTCCTCAAACCTACTGCTGCTTCTCCCTTGAGTAGGGCTGGGGGGTCAGGTCTGCAGAACACCCCAAACGGACGTCACAACCGAACTGTTCGGCCAAGCTGAACTTGATACACCACACCCAGCGGATGGTTGGACTTTGCACATTTTCGTCAGCTTAACGGGCGAAGCGTTTGACAACCATGGCGGCCCTGTTTTGATGATCCTGCAGAGGAAGGCTCATTCTGACCCTCTGCCCTGCTCAACTTGTTCTCCCCTCATCTTGCTCTGGACACGCCATCGGCCTCTGGCCTTGCGGGCTTCAATGCGCCAGATGAGAAGATGTGCCATCGGATCATGGACCGGGCCATCTTGGAGGACCGCATCATCAACCGCGGAGGAAGAGGAAGAGGATCAGCAGGATTGTCGAAGACGCCTGCAAGTCACTCCCGCTCTCTACACTCTTCAAGTGTCTGTGTCGTGAACCGTCGAGCGAGTGTGCGGCCCACTCCAGTGTTCTGCGTGTTCCCCCGCCTGTTGGGGAAAGCGCTTGGGTGGTACAGAGCAGGTGTCCTCTGTGGGATCTTTGGGGGTGTCTTGGGAGTCCGTTCTGGCCTTTTGGACCTTCATGGGGGCATCCTGAAAGAGTCGGAGGAGGAGGAGGAGGAGGAGGAGGAGGAGGGAGGGCAAGCAGGAGGAGGAGTAGAAGCATGAGGAGGATGAGGAGGAGGAGGAGGAGGAGGAGGGGGGAGAAGGATGATGATGAGGAGGAGGAAGAGGAGAAGGAACAGCAGGAACATGAGGCAGAGGAACTTCAAGACCCCGTAGTTACATGTTACACCCCTCTCGATTTCCCAGCGGAGCACCTGGAGCCTGTCCTCCTCCGCCTTCTCCCCATCCTGCTCCCCCACCCGCGGAAGAGCCGCAGCAGCAGCAGCAGCAGCAGCAGCAGCAGCAGCAGCAGCAGCAGCAGCAGCAGCAGCAGCAGCAGCAGCAGCAGCAGATTTTTGGGCTGCACCCGCGGAGGGCGGCGTCAACCTCGTCGATACGGCCGAGCAGTACCCGATCCCTTCCGACGCCCTGAACCCAGAGGGGAGGACAGAGGAGATCCTCGGACGCTGGATGGCACAGGACCTCCGCAGGAGGAGGAGGAGGAGGAGGAGGAGGAGGAGGAGGAGGAGGAGGAGGAGGAGGAGGAGGAGGAGGAGAAGGACGACGACGAGGAGGACGAGGAGAGGGGGTTGGAGGAGGAGGAGGAGGAGGAGGAGGAGAAGGAGGGGGAGTTGGAGGAGGAGGGGGAGGGGCAGGAGGAAGGGGGGGGGAGTGGAGATGGCACGCATTTTTTTGCAACATACGATGTTCCTCGCCCGTGCCGTCTCATGAGCGCCGACGACGGCCCTTCAAGCCTCCAAGACCGCCACAAAACAGCTCCAGAGTGCTCGATAGTGTCACCAGATCACCCCCATACAGTTTAAGAGGGCCCCAAAAGGGGCCCACAAGGGTCCCAGAAGACTTCACGATAATCCCAAGTGAGCCCCAAGATGCCCCACAGACAGGCCTTCTGAGGCCATCTGGACCCCTCTTGGCATCACCGTATGCCCTTCCCATGGCTCTCTTGGGCTCCACTTGTGGCCTACCTGTGCCTTTGGGAACGCCTCAAGAGTGCTCAATAGGGCTCCCGATCAAACCTACAAAGGGACCCTTGAGGTGGTAGGCTCAGTTGAGTCCTCCTTTGGACATCTCTTTGGGCCCCTCGAGGATTCAGTGTGGCACCTTGGAGCTTTCAGGAGGGCCTCAAGAGCGCCCCTACAGACAGTCAGGTAAGTCGGTACGATTTGAGAATTCGGCCCGAAGTCTCAAATCGCACCAGGCAGCATAATGTCGGTCCAGCCATGCCAGGGGCCGTCGGCCAGGGGAAAAGGGGTTTTGCGGCAGGTTGCGGGCGACGGGTGCAGCGTCGGGCGCCCGAAAACGAATGTAGGGGCACCCGCAGACGTTGACCAGGCCCCCTTCGGGGGTGTGAACCTCGCCTCGGGCGTCGGATCTGGGTGCGGATCCGCTACGGATCCCGTGCGGATCCGATGCTTGTTGGACGGTTTCTATGCGAATTCGATTGGTTTTGGACGGATCCGAGGGGTTGGAGAGTAGCGTGTTTGGCACGGGTCCTGTTGGACCACGACAAATAAGGGCAGCGAAGAATTCCGAGAACGACTTACGCAGGGGCACGGATCAATCGCGACCGAGGGGAAGGCGCCTTCTCGAATTGTATTCAGGCGGCTCGTCCCAGAACTTTACTCAGGTGGCTGCTTCGGTTCCGACGTTTTGGCCGTCGCGCTTTCTGATCACTGGACCTCGCCGTCGCCGGCGTCGTCGTCGTCGCCGGCACCTTCTTGAGGTTCAGACTCCGGTCATGCGTCGGCTCAGGCACGCTTTCAGTCTGGGCAAATGCAGACGCGCTCCCTGTCCAGGCAATCGTACCAACTTTACCTGACTGTCTGTGAAGGGCCCACGCCAGATTCGAACACAACCTCGATCATGTCTCTTGAGAGCCCCCCCGAAATCGTTGCACCTTCACCGTTCGGCCTGAAGCATATGCTAATATGTGGCGGTACGTTCATGAGTGCACCTGTGACTCTGAATGGTTAGGGCGCACTCGAATCTAAGCGCGCGCGAAACGCGCACGGCGGGATGTGTATGTTATATACATATATACATATACACATATATATTTGTGTAAATAGGTGTATATGTCAACATGTAATTCTGTAGCTTCCCATCCACACTTACGTTTATATTTATACACACAACACGGGGAACCAGTTATTATCCCCCCACGGTCTCGGTCAACCCATAGCGCTTCTTGCCCGTGGGAGGGGTCAACAACTTCATCGTGTTCCAACCATATCCGAATCGGGTCCCAGTGAAAACCTAAATGTTTGCAACATGAACCCAATACTGTCACACTCGGATCCCGATAGGGTCCGGAGACGATCCCATTGGGATTCCCCCGTAGGAGTCCCCTTTGGAAGTCCCCCGTCGAAGTCCCCCCATGGGACCAGTTTCCCAGATGATTCCCCACATGACCCCCCGCGGAACTGTTCGATTCGTTAACATACCGAGGTGCTAACGGTATCGTTCGGCGGTTGTCTCTCTTCGGGAACCAGCAATACTTTAACACTGCGTTGGGGGATCGGTAATTGGTTTCCATCGAGTTTTGTTGTATGTCATATATATGTATATACACATATATCCATGTATTCATCACTAGATATTTACATGTATACGTACACACATATATATACATGTACACGTATACATATATATATATATATATGCATACGTACGTGCATGCCTACATATACACATACATATATACTACACAGACAGAGAGAGGAAGAGAAAGAGAGAGAGAGAGAGAGAACGAGAACGAGAGAGAGAGAGAGAGAGACGGACGAACAGTTTGGCTGATTGCGCTGGGTGATCGAAACCTCGGGAGTGCCCGCGAACACCAGGAACAATCTCCGCATGCTGTACGACGAGCACCGATACAGATTACAACTCGGAGGCATCAGCAACGACGGGTTCAAAAGTTGTGCGGGCATCCGACAAGGACGCATGCCCATTGTCACCGTTGCGTTTCGGTTTAGTGGCCGTTGTGGTTCCGAAGCACTTGAAGCGGAAATGCCCCAGTGCAAGCATTCGAATTTTCGTCGATGACATCGCCAGATTTGGACCAAGCGCTCCCTGTCTTCCAGGAGATCTTCGGGGACGTGGCGAGGGTGGCTGGGCTGAACTTGCCGAAATGCGTTGTCACCCCACTATGGACAAGGGCACAAGCCGGCTCCAGCAGCACATGGTGGATAAGTGCCCAGCGTGGGCCAGCATCGCAGTCCAGCCAAAGGGCACTTATTTGGGCATGGTCGTTAGGCTGGGAGCGGCGAGCAGCAGCTGGGACAAACGTTCCCGAAAGTACGGGCTCAGTTCGCAAGCTTGGGGCGGCCTTAGCCTGGGCTTGCAGTCTGCGGTTGCGACGTTCGCCGCACGCTTTCCCCAGTCGACTCATTCGCGGGCCAGGTCAGTTTTTCCTTTCTCCGGAAGCATTCGAGCGCGAACGCAAGGTGTTTCGGAGCTAGGTCATCGGACAGTGCCGACTGTGCCTTCCAAGTGGCTTTTGCCATTTAGCGGGGATGCGCGGGCAGGCGAGGAGTTTCCAGAGTTCGATGCACATGTGCAGGGCTGCGCAAAAGGGCGTATGTCAGTTCGAAAACTCAACGCGGAGGGCTCCGCATCGACCAGAACATGCGGGGATTGAGCACTTGGGAGGCGGAGGCTGACCGCCTTGACTGGGTCTATTGATGGGGCCAGTGGTTCGATTCAGGCTCAGCTAGCACACTGTGCCAGAACTCCAAGCCGCGGTGCTGCGGATCGCTGGCCAGTCCGCCGGGCCCCATCGGCGCCGTTGCCAGGAGTGCAGAGGCCGCGTGGAAACGGTTCGAGATTCCAGAGACCCAGTCGGCAGGCAATCGAGCAGAGATGCCAGCCCGATCCGGAAAACGGATGCGGCCCAAATTGGGGCGCCGAGGTTTGCCAGGCTGGCGTGGATGACAGCAGTGCGAGTCGTCCGAGCACCCGGCGCGCTGAAGCGACTGATGCCGCCCAGAGTGTGTGCGGCAGTCTTGCGCGCGTTTTGGATCGGACGGGCCACGGCGGGGAGGTTCCAGCAGTGTTCCCCATGCGTCCTCGGGCGCGGGTGCCACGATAATCGATGCAAGATCGAGCACTGCATTTTTTGACCTGTTGTCGCATCGTTTCGCCAGGTAGTGATGCTTTATGGGCCTGTCGCAAGACGCTGTGCGAACCTCGTTGGGGGAGTTCGTGGCCATGGATCTGGGCGAGAACGCTCCCGGCGACAACCCTGGCCCAGAGGGCCATCCTCGCACATCCTGTCTACAGGGCCACCAACAACCTTCGCCGTCGGGGCCGGGGAGAGGGGGCGTCGGCGGCCACGACATGGTACAGCAGTCCGCCAAGGGACGCGGCGCGGGGCCGCAGATGGGCCAGTGCAGTCCTGGAGTGGCGCGGGGCGGTCGACCACGACTCTGCGGAACTGCCGGACGACCCGCGGATTGACCACGAGCGGCTCCTCGACGCGCTCGCCGGCGAGAGCGACATCGAGGCTTCTGTTGCCGCGCCTCGAGCCGTGTTGTGCATTTCTGTAGATATTGCTGAGGTTTTACGGCCGGTACCGCCGACCCTGGAGGTTTCGGTCGGCCCTCGACGGACATGGGAGGGATACAGCGGGCCATGGGCCATGGGTCCCGGGAGGGTGGTATTCCCGGACCACCCCCGAACCCCGCCCCCGGGCCCCCCGTCCCATGGGAGGGGGAGGGCGGGCCATGGGCTCCGGGAGGGTGGTATTCTGATCCTGGACCACCCCAGGGGAACACCTTCCAGGGCCGCCCCCCGGGAACCCTCCTCCCCCCCCCGCGGGGAAGAGATCAAAGGGAAGACGCTTCCTTTCGACTCAGTCACAACGTTACTTGCTTTCGCTGTGAATGAGCTGGTGTATTTCGCCCTGGCTGGCGTGCTTAAAAACGAGGACCCAAGGAAGGGGGGGGGCGGCGACGGAGTCAGGGGAAGGAGGGGGCGTGATGGCGGCGGCGACGCGACGGCGGTAGCGACGGCGATGGCGACGGAACAGCCCTGGTCACACGCCGACAGTGTCGGCGGATGTGTTGATAGCGGCCCGCATGTCCGCCTCGCTCACTTGCAACGCTCGTGCGAAATCATGTGTGCGCTGAGTTTTAGCTCGCTGCCCCCCCTTTGCGGCCATCGTCCCCCTCCCGGCTTGTCTCCAATGCATCATTTATGAAGTCATCGCATGCGCGGGGCGGGCCGCTCCGTCCGCAGCCGATTCGGGCGGTGGGTTCTTCCGGTCTTTTCCTCTGCGGGCCGAGTCGGCGGGCCCAGGAGGGCATTTGCAAACAGTCCTCTTAGCCGGGTCGTGGTACGTCTGTCGACAAATCTACACCTTGCCGCTGGGTTGGGTGCGAGCTTTGGCTGGCTAGTTTTGCGCATCGTGTTCTTGCTCCCGCTTTCCCTCTCCCCCTTTTTTCCGCCTTGTACTGACG